AACAGAGGCCAGGGACACCATTCCTACCCCCTGGCTAATAGCACTCCATGAACCCAACCTCCATGACTTTATCTAACTTCTCTTTAAACTCTGTTATAGTTCTACCTTCACAGCCTCCTGTGGCAAGGAGTTCCACAGGTTGACTATTTGCTTTGTGAAGAAGAACTTTCTTTTATTAGTTTGAAGCCTGCTACCCATTCATTTCATTTGGTGTCCTCTAGTTCTTCTATTTAGGGAACTAATAAATAACTTTTGTTTACCGGCCCTCTCCACTCTACTCATGATTTTATAGACCTCTATTATATCCCCCCTTTGTCTCCTCTTTTCTAAGCTGAAAAGTCCCAGTCTCTTTAGCCTCTCTTCATATGGGACCTGTTCCAAACCCCTAATCATTTTAGTTGCCCTTTTCTGAACCCTATCCAAGGCCAAAACATCTTTTTTGAGGTGATGAGACCACGTCTGTACACTGTACTGAAGATATGGCATATCATAGTTTTATACTTCCCCTCCTCCTTCTTCCCCTGGCTTCCCCCTTCCAGCTGCCTCTTCCCAGGTTTCCTCCTCCCCTCTCCCACCTCCTTTTCCCAGTCTCCCCAGAGGTTAATCCCCCCCTCCCAGTTTTGTTAAATAAAGAGAGTATCTATTTTTGAACACACTTGTCCTTTATTTTTTACATCAGGAAGGGGGGCTAGGGAGGGTTAAGTGGAAGGAGGTGAGGGAGGAATGGGATACAAGTCCCCAATGGGGAGGACTGGGGTGGCTCTGCGGGTTCCTCAGGGTGGAAGCTCTCCTGAAGGGCCTCCTAGATCCTGACAGCCTCCCGATTGACCCCCCAGATGGCAGCCTGCGGCAAGTTCAGCCGGGCTGATGGCTGAGTGCTGTGATGTGCCGAGTGTGGGCACTCAGGTCATTCCAAGACAGGACTGCTTTGCTGTCCCTCATTGAGGTAGACAAGCAAGTGGGGAACCCTGAGAACTGTCTGTCCGGGGTGGGGGTCGGGTCCCTTTAAGCACAGCCTTTGGCTAGCCTGAGGCAGCAGCTCCACACTCTAAGTCCTAATCTGATGCCCTGCTGGCACTGCTTCCGGCCAGCCTTAACCTCGGTTCAGGGTCCACTCAATGTGGACATGCTAGTTCGAATTAGCAAAACGCTAATTCGAATTAGTTTTTAGGTCTAGATGCACTAATTCGAATTAGCTTATTTCGAAGTAACTAATTCGAATTAAGTTAGTTCGAATTAGTGCTGTAGTGTAGACATACCCAGAGAGAATACAAGTACCTATCTATCTACAAAGAGCAAAAACCACCCAATGTATGTGACAGATGAGGAGCAAAGCGATGGAATTACCATTATCCTACTGCATTAATACATAGCTGCACGTGTTAACGCATACAGTAACTTCTCTTTCAAAATAATGCTTTAAAATATGCAGTGTCGATACTTAGTATCTATGGATTCAACCCCGCTGGCTCTTGTGCATAGTTCCATCAGCTTCCCATGGCTTTCTGTGACACTATGCACAGGAATCAGCATATGCTCAGAAGGGTTAGCAGGATTCAGCCCATAGTAATCTAAAATTAAAATTATATATTTCAATATGCAAACATTTTAGAGCAGATACTGTTTGTGTTGTGCTAATAGTTTTCGTCTTAAATATGTACTAAAAAAAATAGTGGTGATGGGAATTCAATAGCTGTGCTCCACATCTGTCTACCAAATCATGGAAATCACTTCAGTAACATACCATATGACAGAGGAAAACTGAAAAGAGCAAATATGCACCGAAGCCTGCAGGTGTGAGAATAATGCGTCTAGCCCCATCTGTCATTATGTGTTATGTGTACAGGGTGGGATTTTTCATAATACAGCCACATATGTGCATGGATAGCTGCTATTTAAAACAAAACAGCTTTTGCCATAGTATAAAACATTGAAGTTATAGCCTCAACATATTTTAGTTCTCAAGCAAATAGCCCAAAATCAGTAACAAATTATTTAGAGGAGAACACCATCTTATTTTTACTCTGTCTTTTTTCCCCACAGTACTGTTGCTTTGAAATGTAAGTTGTTCAAAGCAAATTCTCTGTGAATTCTTGTCATAGTTTCTTTCTGAGTTAATGTCATGTATATTCCCTCTGCTAAAGATTTAGGTAAACTGGAATAGGCAGTAAATCAATTTAATAGGCAAGCAGTAATACCTCACAAAATATGCACTTACCATGTATTTTAGATGTAAACTTGCCAACAGTTTAGGCTGGAAGTGGGAAGAAGGATTCTAACTGTTAAATGAGGCTCTGGAATATCTGACCAAAAGGAATAGTGGGTCCTACATTTCAGTTATTTTATTATTCTATTAATCTAATGGGTTTATATGTCTGCAATGTCTGCAGTGACGCAGAAGACCCTTCCTGTGATTCATTCTTATAGTCTTATGTATTGGACAGCAGGACACCTCAGGAGACACTAGATCAAAAACTGGACTTCTCCACCTGGGAAATGA